TCCCTGTATATTTGTAGCATTCCTGTTTCAACGATGAAGGCTATGTTTGTGTCGCTCCGGTTATATTTGACATCCTGAGAGAGGTTCCATTAAACTCACTTGTGTTGGTGCGATTGGTGAAGAACAGATTTTGGTATAATTTGTACCCTCGGTTGTCCCTCCACTCCATCGGTATATTAGGTCCGAAGTTAGAGTAAAGGTCTTTAAAAGGCAGGAGACTCCCGAGTTTGGGGCTTAAAGGATCAGGGGGTCAGTGGGAGGACGGGGAGTGGTGTTGAAAGCCAATCTGCACCAGATCAAAAGTTGCCTGGCCTCAGGTGAAAAATTTCCCATTGGCATTGAATGGCATGGCACGGCTTTTCCTCCCTTTAGAACGGTGAAATTTACGCTAAAAATATGTGGACAGTAATGCTTTACATTTCATGCGATCATACCATTAGCTTAATTGTTTTTTTTTCAGTAGCTTCAATTTCACGCAACCGTGGTTATCCTGGCTTGCTGTGGGTGTTCTCACTGTAGCCACCATACTTGCTGTACCTCGTTCCTCTACGATGGATTATTATGGCTTGGGGTGAGCTCTTCTTCATTTCTGAAAAGTTCTTGTAATCCTCATGATCAAGCTTCATTGCGGAATTTTCAACAACTTTTATATTTCTAGGTATCAACAAGTTTACAAAGAAATTACGTAATCCGCACTACATCGACAACAATGAGCTGTTAGACTACCTATCTCGAGTACCGTGCGATAGGGATTTGGTAAGTTGATAAAACCGATTGCGACGTGGAGACATCTTGCAATAGATCCCGCTTTGCGTCGCGCGAACTCGTCGCTCGCCGCGCACGTGATGACGCAGCAAAGTTGCGCGGCTCTTTGGGAGGTTCATTTCCATTTCTACGCAATTTTGTCGCAAGCCGCTTGCAGGAGCTGACGGTGCTCTCATACTGACTCGCTGTGCTGATCGCAAGCGGTGTCGCGTGCACAGAGGGCGCCAGGGTTGGTCCCCAGCGAAAGAGGTCTTATCTGCTCGGTGAAGGAAAAGGGGAATCGTACTTCATTCTGACTTGAGAAAAATGATTTCGGTTGCTTACTTTTTTTCGGCTCTTTCTTTTTCTGCGGCATATACTCCCTTCCCGTTTCACCCTACCCGCTCCTGCCCCACGCTCTCCCTCGCTCGACGACAGTTTTCTTGGTGGAAGGCGGGGCGTGGGTGGGGGTTTTTACTCCGAACAGAAAAAGGGTAAGAAGTTGGGAAATTCAGGAAGACTGTTGATAGGATGGGGGAAAAAGGGAACGGTCATACTAGAGAGGGAAATTCAGAGGGAGGGGTCGTATTTTGAAATTTTTCTGCAATGGCGGGACATCGCCCGCATGAACAACACCTGCTTTGAGACCTAACTGGTTCTTGGTCTTTTCGCCCATGTTTAAAACGGAAAGATTCTTGACGTATACACTTCAAAAAAATTTCCTCATTAGCCGTTGAGCTGAGAGGGTAAGAGCGGCCTCGGTCGGTAGTGAGTATTGCAACCGCACGGAAAACGAGAGATGCGGGTTCGTGTCCCGTCCGTGGTCTGACTTTTGCCCATAACTCATCACTGTTGCGATATTCCCATTCGCTTGGCGGTACTTTCAGTTTTGTACAAACAGACGTTCAAATCCACTCTAGTGGCCTCCCCCTTCGTTCCAAAAAAATCACCACCCTGCTACATATTTCACTTACTGCATTTGAAACTTACCGTAATTTCAGCTTGAATGGCGCGAATATACGTTAACACCGTCATCAAACGGCAAAGAGAAGGACAAGGCTAAACTCAAGGATAAATAGGAGCCATTTTGTATCTGTGATATTGAAACGTGTAGGGAAAGTTCCGTTAACACCGTATCCCTCAGAGGCATAAATGGACGAGAAGAAGGACCTCCAGCATGGTCAACTAGCCAGCCCTTGTACACTTTTACTCATGTGCACTTCAAAGTTTGAAACTCTTTCCTTTTTCAACGTCATTCCTTCTAGCCTTTATTGAATGGTATAATGACTGTAGTCAGCCTCACTTTCAGCTAGTCATTTCTTGCCGGTAATGTGTATTTATTCATTATTTATTCC